TGTCTAAAGGAGAGTCCTCTCTGCCCCACCACGAACTAAATCAGAAGATTCCACTCTTCATTCTTCATTCTTTTTTGATCTTTTGGCCAATTCTTCCTCAATAGTTCGCCCTTGGAGCTACGAAGTCTGATCCCAAGAACAACAAACATCCTAGCCTTATAAGTGAATTCCAGCACAGAGTCAAATCCCTTCTCCACAACGAAGATACGAACAACCATTCAAAATTGAGAAGATGATCAAATTCTAGATGATTGAGCGACCCTTTGCATTCCTTATAAAATGAACATTGAAACAAAAACCTAGGGACTTTATTTATGATGTCAATAAATGAATGTTGATATAAGATTCATTTTGCCAACATTTGTCGTTTGGTTAAAAAAAGAGGAGGCTATAATAAAATTTTCCTTATTCTTCTTCTACTCTTCACTGTCAACGAACAAGAAAATTTGAGAACTTAATATGTATCTCAAAAAGTGCCAACATGAATCACAAAGACATCTCACGAATGGTAATAAGGGTAATGCGGCCTCGTAAGCCCTACCAAGAAAACCTGCCTAACCAGACATGTAATTGTATCTTAGGAGTGGCGTGCCTCAAATGGAAGGGGAATATCACCCCTAAAGGATCCAATTGATTAGATCCAGTAGAACAAGACCACCACTAGACAACTTTGACATAACAAAGAAATTGTGATGGCTCTCAAAGCCCCAGAAGCAAAGATCTGGGCTCCTGACAGATAGTCGACCGACCTAGTAGGCATTCGTCCAAGCAGTCTCCCGGCTCCACAGCCGTCCAGCTAAAAGGCGACTCGATCATATTTTGCAGCCCTATGGGCAAAATTCACATATGGACTATGGTACCCCCGCCGTACCTAAGTACTGTAGGGTAACAATATGTAGGTACGACAGACTAGAGCTACTTGTCGGGTGATCAAATCCACATATGTAGGTTCATACCTTTTAATGATTTGATCACCTATAATTACAACTCTGTCACTAGAGCTACTATTGCTAAAATTACATTCCATGTATTGAGTTTTAGATCTACTCAATCGAAGGCATTTAGACTCTAATTTCAACCTCTATAATTTAAGTTTTTTCTAGATTCTTTCTTTAGTTTTATCTACCAGATGTATGTCATCAGCAAAAAGCATACACCAAAGCACATCATGCTGTAAATGTCCACTAAGAGCATCCATTACTAAAGCAAAAAGACATGGGTTTAAAGCTAATCCCTGATGTAATCCAACTGAAATAGGAAAATACCTGGTCAACCATCCTTTTGTTCAAACATAAGTAACAGCTATAGTATACATAACTTTAATGACTTAAATACAATTCATATCTACACCTTTCTACTCTAGAACTCTCCAAAAGACTTATCTTAGAACCTTATTGTAAGCTTTTTTTAAATCAATAAAAATCATATGTAGTCCTTCTTATTCTCCAAGTACTTCTCCGTCAAACCTCTCAATAAATGTATAGCTTCCAAAGTTGGCCTGCTGACTTAAATCCAAACTTATTATAAGAATTCTTTGTATCATGTCTTAACCTATGTTCAATTACACTCACCCATAATTTTAAAGAATAACACATCAACTTAATTCCTCTATAATTTGCACGCTCTTGTGCTTCCCTTTTATTCTTAAAAATGAGGATCAAAATACGCTTCCTCCACTCCTCAGACTTCTTCTTAGTTTTTAAAATAATATTAAGGAGTTTAGTAAGCAAAAAAAATCTCTCAAATCTCCTTAATATTTCCACACTTCAATCACTCTTTATTTTTCTTAAAGTCTCAGTCACTTCTTTTTTACTAATACGACAGTAAAAATAAAATGTTTTATTATTATTAACAATACTAAGATCACTAAGATCGATCGCATTTTATGAAACTTCATTGAAAAATTTTTCAAATTAACTTACCCATCTATCTTAAATATCTTCATCTAAGAAAAATATTTTTTGGTTTTCACCTTTAATACACTTAACCTGAATTAAATATTTAATTTCATTTTCTCCTTATTTGGCTAATTTATACATATATTTTTCATCATATTTAGTATATAATCTATTTTAAAGATCACTAAGAAAAACTTTTAGCGTCACAAATTGTTCTTATAAACACCCACAGGCTACTTTATATTTTTTTCGGTTCTTTAAGCTTTTACATTTAAACTAATTTTTATAATACAACCTCTTTTATTTTATCTTTTCTTGCACATTATTATTCCACTACCAACTATTTTTATTTATAAAAAAATTTCTCTTAATTCATTAAGTATATCTTTTACCATTTGTTTAATAGCACTTATTATATTATTACATATAGAATTTGCTTCTTCATACAACAACAACAACAAAGCCTTAATCTCACTACGTGGGGTCGGCTACCTGAATCCTTTTTCTCCATTGTGTCCTATTTAGTGTCATATTTTCATTTAGTTCTCATAAATTAAGATCATTGTTTATACAATAAGCCCAAGTCTTCCTAGGTCTACCTCTGCCTTTCTTAACATAAGCTGAATCTTAAACATCTACTCTCCTAATCGGTTCATCAGATGGTCGACGCTTAATGTGTTCAAACCATCTAAGGCGACTTTCTCTAATTTTGTCCGTCACGGGAGCTACAGCAATCCTATCACAGATATAATCATTTCGCATTTTGTCTCTAAGTGTAAAGCCACTCATCCACCTAATCATTCTCATCTCGGCAACACTTAACTTAGTGTTATGCTTCTTTTTTCATTCAGCGCCATAGAGCATTGCAGGTCTCACTACCGTCTTATAAAATTTTCCTTTCAGTCTAAGCAGTACTTTTCTATCACACAAAAGGCCCGAAGCATTCCTCCACTTCAACTAACCAACTTGAATTCCAATATTAACATCCCCATCTATATCACCATCGCTTTGAACAACAGACCCGAGATATCTAAATCGTTCACACTTTTTAATAATTTGATCACCCAAAGTTACACTTTTGTCACTAAAGCTACTACTACTAAAATTACATTCCATGTATTCAGTTTTATTTCTACTCAAATGAAGGCCTTTAGACTCCAATATAGAGCTCCATATTCAAGCTTTTCCTGAGCTTTTTTTCTCGTCTTATCGACGAGAATGATATCATTAGCAAAAAGCATACACCAAGGTACATCCTCTTGTAAGTGTCCAGTAAGACCATCCATAACTAAAGTAAAAAGATATGGTCTTAAAGCCGATCTGTGATGTAATCCAACAGAAATAGGAAAATATTTGGTCAATCCTCTCTCAGTTCGAACACAAGTAACAACTCTAGAATGCATATCTTTAATGACTTAAATATTAAAATATTAGTCATATCAAGTCATATCAAAACCTTTCTTCTCGAGAACTCTCCAAAGGATATCTCTTGGAACCTTATAATAAGAATTTTCTAAATCAATAAAAATAAAATGCAAATTCTCCTTATTATCTCTGAACTTCTCCGTCAAACTTCTCAATAAATGTTTAGCTTCCATAGTAGACCTGCTTGGCATAAATTGGCATAAATCCAGCTTGGCATAAATCCAAAAATGATTATGAGAAATCCAAAAATGATTATGAGAAATCTTTGTGATACGTCTTAATCTATGTTCAATTACCCTCTCCCATAATACCCTCTCCCAACCCTCTCCCATAATTTTAAAGTATGACACATCAACTGAACTATTGTGCGTCCTCTTTATTTGTTAAAAATGGGAACCAAAATACTTTTTATCCATTCCTCAGACATCTTTTTAGTTTTTAGAATAATAGTAAAGAGTTTAGTAAGCCAAACATTTTCATACTTCAATTGGGATATCATAAGGTCCTACAGACTTTCCACCCTTGATTTTCTTTAAAGCTTAATCAACTTCTTTTTTATTAATGTGACTGTAAAATGAAAAGTTTTATTACTATTAACGACATTAAAAACACTAAGATCGATCATATTTTCAGAAACTTCATTAAAAAAATTATCAAAATAACTCACCCACCTTCGTTGAATATATTCTTCTAAGAAAAATATATTTTTTTTATTTTCATCTTTAATACACTTTACTTGAGTTAAATCTTTACTTCTCCTCTTTATTTGACTTGTTTATACACAATATTTTTCACCTTCCATCCTTAGTATCTAATCTATTATAAAGATCATTAAAAACAAAATTTTTAACATCATATATTATTCTTTACCTCCCTGTAGGTCGTTTGATATTTTTCTCAATTCTAAGCTTTTACATTTAAACCGATTTTTATAACAAAACTTCATATATTTTATCTTTTATTGCACATTATTATTCCACCACCAACTATTTTTATTCAAAAAAACCAACTATTTTTATTCAAAAAAATTATTTCTTCTGATTCTTCAAATACATCTTTTACTAATTGTTTAATGTCACATAGAATTTACTTCCTAAAATTAAAAAAAAAACAATACAAAATTTTGAGTCAGAAACAACTATGATTAATGAGATTTAATTTGATATAAAACTATGAAAGCAGTACAAAATTTTGCATATCTACCAAAAGCTATACAAAACAGCTGAAAGTTGTACGTGGGCAACAAAGAAAACACATGCTAAGAACATTTTTATTACTTTCAATTTTCTTAATTACTCCTATTACTAAATTAACATTTTTACACATCCCTTGAAATTTATTTTCAATTCAAGCCATTCTAATTTAAATCAAATCAAATCGACTTACATTCAGACATAAATCATCTAAAATCCTTAATAATTAATAAAAACTACAGTTGATATTAAATAAAAAATATGAATTTTTAAATATTTTTATAATTTTAATTTTTTAAAAATTTTAATATATTTTAAGTATATTAAGTCAGCTTATCAAGTCGCCAGAGCGACTTCTCAAGTTAAGTCAGCTTGACTTTACCTGCACCAGTACAGATAAGAAGTTCTGCATACTCAACAAGCAAACTTCAGCAGAGCAAATTGAAACAAATGAACAAAAACCCATGATTTCCTTTCCTAACAGTAGAAAAAGCTGGAATAGTCTGAAACCTCAAAAATATTCACAGAAATTTCTTTTAACTTAACACAAAACCTTCATCATCATTAGCAAATGAATACAGACTAAAAAACTTACACTAACATTCACAGAACAAGAACACACCCACACACTCTCCTGAACCTGAGAAACAAAGGTTTGCTTTTACAGAGAACCATCTTTAGAATGTTTCTGGCAATGGCCTCCCCTGCAGAAAAGCTCTGAAGAGACCCAGAGACCTTTCTGGCTGCGAAAATGGCGCCTCATGTGAAGCTCCTCTTATAGTCGCAAAAGAGAGGATGTTTCCATACACTTGAGTCCAGCCTCCTACCTGGTAAAACAATAGAGGAATTAGGGCATAGTGCTTGAAATTATTTAGAAATCAAAATTAATTTTTTAGCACGCAAACTCACCCAAATGTAATAATTTCATTTACATGCATAAAATGAATTTAAAAAACTTACCTGTTGCCCCTCAAACCAAACTCTATAAGGCACCGTTGTATTCAGTCCAAGTTTATGTGCCAATTTATCCAGCAAGGTTCTGCTACCAGTTAAGGGAATCACAGAATCTTGATCCCCACTGCAAAGTGAAGATAAATTCAGTAATTTTGAAAAAGAGGCTACCCCTCAATTCCTATGCATTTACATATCTAACATCTTACATATTGATGAAAAGGCGCAAGTCACTTTTAAAAATTAAAAGAGGTATTTTTTTTAAATGATATGAAAATTTTGAGTGGTATAAACACAGAGTAGAGTTTAGGCGCTAGATATGTAAATACATAGGAATTATGTGGTATGTATGTAAATGCCTCCAATAAAAATTTACATGAGTGCAATTCTAGCTGCTCTGCATCTAATTTATCCTAACTTTCAATATATTTGAAATGCTTCCTTACCTGTAGACAAGTACTGGTATTCCAGACTCAACGAGCGAACCCACAAGAGTTATGGTTGGTATTTCCAAGTTTAGTAGATCATACTCCAGCACACTAAGGAACAAGTAGACATGACTTTTAACTTCAACAGTTTTAATACTGATAAATATTCTTGATGATCATGATATAGTAGTAATCTTCACACATTTAACAAATTATACCAAGATTATTACTTGAAGTTGATAAAATAAAGTGGAAACTGAAGGCCTCCCCTAGAGAAAATTATCATAAAAAAGAGAACTTTTCCAGTTTACCTGCTGCAAACAGTCCACCTGGACACACCATGAAACCGAGCATGCAACGCTTCCTGTACATCTTTCCTATTCAAAAAATTCAGAGTCTCATCCTCCACACAAACATCCACAGCTTCATTAGCTTGCTGAACAAAAAAAAAATGTAATATTAATAACAAAATCTATAGAGCTCAAAATCAGAAATTTGTTGATCAAAAGCAATTTCCAGGCCTACTTACCTGAGGATTGAGAACGTTAGATTGAGAAAGAACCGATGAGATGCAGACATCAAGTGTAACATCATACTTATCTACAAATCTGCTGGTTTCGTTGGTCACTCGGCTCATAACTTCAGAGCAGACTGAACTAAGAGAGCCCCTGTAATACTCGCTCACATAACGAGAATAGTTGCAGGTTGTGGTGAAGATATTATATGTGGAGTCGGATATCAAGCCATGAGACCAGAAGTATTCCGCCCTAGAATTGAAATCGGTGGCAAACTCGAGCACCGGATTTCCAAGCTGCAGAATTTGGTAGTCATGAACAACAGTACTTACATATTTGTTCAAATCAGTGAAATCAACAGACAGAAAACAAGGGCACAACTTCACTCACAGCTATTCCTTTTAGGTTAAATGTCTTCCTTTTCTTGTTGTACTGAACGATAAGATCGGCCAGCTGCGGTATATAATGACCTAAAAGAATGGACAGAGAACTGGTTCAGATGAGAGAGGAGAGAGAGAGAGAGGAGAGAGAGAGAGAGAACCTGCATAGCTTTCTCCAGCTATGTACAGATCTCTATCTTTATACTGGGGAAACTTGGAGAACCACCGAAGCAGAAACACAAGGTTGTCCCTAGCTTTAAGAACACAAAAGTTAAAAGAGGCTTCAGAGGCCTCACTTTGCCAAAAACTAGAAAAAAGCCATTTTTGCACTCAAAGTAATAGCTTTGAATCTAAAACAAATGGAATCAGCGGTCGCAAATATTCAAATTCCAAAAGGATTCACAAGCTTTAAGAGTGAAAGGAAGAAGACCTGGATGTAAATGATCTTACCTGTCAGCTTATCATCTACTCTCTCATAGAATGAGCTGTCCAAGGAGTAAGAAAACCCAACTCCTGCTGGCGTCTCCAGATACAAAATGTTCGCCTCTATGAAAAGAGGTGAAACAAAGGCAAAAGCTTGGATTTTGAATCAAAACAAAGTAAAAGAAGGAAAAGAGGACTGGTAAAGATACCTTTGTTCCAGCTATACTCATTTCTCACCAACGCTTGGCCGCTGGGTCTGAAAGGTCCGTTCTCGGAGAAGGCACCAACCCCAACTGAAGAACAACCGGGACCTGTAAAAGATTAAGAGCAACACTGTTAGCACCTGGAAGACAGAAAGAAAGAATAGAAAGGATATCCTTTCCCTTCTTATTATGTCCTCAACTTTACTCTTTTGTTTGCTTTATGCGAGAAAAACAGAACACTTCTTTTTTTTGTGATGGAACTTTTAGTCCCTGCTTTACCTCCGTTTAACCAAAGAACCAAAGGCATCGATAATGGATCCAATTCTGCTTCAGCGAAGTAGTAGAAGAGATACCTCTGCTTCCTCTCATCTACAGTGATGTAGCCTGAAAACTGCTCAAATGTGACGTTTGGTTGGCCAGGAAGCTTGGTGATCCGGTCTCCCCATCCCATGGAGAGTTGGGACTTCGTCGCCATGGAGTAGCTTGGCTGAAAAAGAGCTATTGCCATTACAATGGCGTTCCACAGAATGGTACGCATGATCGCAGAGGCAAAGAGACTGAAAGTGGGAGACAGATTAGTCAAGCGAGGGATAGTAGTCGAGCTATACAACTGTCGGTGACCGTGGTGCCCCGCAAAAACATTAAATAGGCTACAATTTAAAAAAGCTTTTTTTCGTTTGGCTTTAAACTTTGATAATATGAATATTTTGGTGTAAACTTTCTCCCTAAAAATATTCTGTTAAAGGTTGAAAGAGAGTCCGGGCTTAAATAAATAATTGGAAGAACTCTGCTCGGAGGCAAGGACTGCAATGCAGGAGAGATTATTGCGTGCGGACACCGCATGCATCTCTGCATGCGGTGTTCGATCCTGACCGTAGATCACGGTGATCTACGGTCAGGATTATTTCCGTTTTAAAAAAAAAAAACTTTAGGTGGGGCCCACCGGCCCACCGAAATACATCAGGACCGTAAATCATGTGATTTACGGTCCGGATCGGCGTCCGCAC